CTGGGGAATTCTGGGAGTTGAAGTCCACCCAGCTTAAAGCTGCCAAGGTTGAGAAACACTGGAGAAGATGATCGTGTGCTAAGTGCCTAGAACTCAGAAACCACTACTTTGAATAGGCATTGCTTCTATTCCTCTTTAGGCATCAAAAAGGATCCTTCAGTAGATCCCTGCATTGGGATCCTTCCAGTGAGAGGTCATGATCTCTGCTGCCTATACAGCAACATGAGATGGTTAGAAACTTCAAGTGTCGAGGGAGTTATCAGAGAATGATAGACTGCTATGCAACTCCCTACTGCAAAGTAGGTTAATGGGTACACACATTACAAACTACATACAGTATGTAATCAGAGCCAGATTGACTATGGCAGCTGGCAATATGTCTCTAAATGCCACTTGCTGGAGAAAGTTGTTGACTTACATCCTGCTTGTGAACTTCCTGGAGGCATCTGATTGGCCAGTGTGGGACACAAATGGATTAGCTGAATTTCTGATGTGATACAGTAAAACTTATCTCACTCTTCTGGATGTAAGATGCCAGTGATCGGTGCACGCTATTTTTAGTTTATTGGAATCTTCCCATTAAAAATGCTGATAACCACTACAAAGAGAACAAAAATGTTTATTAGTGTTGGGACCAGTCTATCTATTTATATAGGGACAGTCTTTGTGACCATATTTCTGTACAAATATGTCTAATTGTTCCTCTGTGGAATTAGATGTTCAAGTAAGTACCAGAACTTGCTGAATCTTTAGGATCTCAACACATTTCTGTAACTGACTTCCTAGCAACTATAGGAAAACAACTGGAAAGGAAAGTCATAGCAATTCAAGTCACTGAAGACTTAAGCAATACATAAAGGAAGACAGAATACCTGTTTGGAAAGATTATTTCATGCACATTGCATCATAAATCTCTGCAAAACAATCCTTTACAGACATAAGTTTTGCACTTGTTAATACACATATATTATTTTTAAAAGACTTTTTTATCCCGCCTTTATTATTTTTTATAAATAACTCAAGGTGGCGAACATACCTGACACTCCTTCCTCCTCCTATTTTCCTCACAGCAACCCTGTGAAGTGACTTAGGCTGAGATTTAGCTTTCATTTATACCTCTGATTCATTGTTTTAATCAAGCTTTGAGGTGATAAGATTTAGCTGAGCAGAGTCCCAATGGCTCAAACTTTAAAGTGCCACAATTGTCACAGAATTATTCTCATTTAAAAAAAAAAAAAAAAAAGATTTTCCAGTGCCTGTGAATTGAATGCAAACAATGAATGCACACTAGTCAACAGGGGGTGCTCTTGACCGTGCACCTTTCAACAATGTAATTTAGAAGAGAATGAATTTAAGAATAGCCCTGAACTTGCAAAAACTGAGTTTTAACTTAGTTAAGGTACTGTATATATTTCAGTTCATACATTGAACTAAGATTTAGCATGATTTCTTTAGTTTTGACTTAGTGTGTCATTAACTTTAGACTCTTGTGTTTTATTTAGTAAACTATGGTTAAGCAAACCACAGTATAGTCTGCTATGCGAACTCAATTACTGTAAATTTAAGAATTTGCCTTATGACAATTCATCCCAGTAGTCTGTACGCTAGTCTTTCCCAATCTGGTTTCTTCCGGGATTATTCTTCACATGCATTATACTTCACTTTAATTATATCACAGCCATACTGGCTGGGAATTCTGGAAGTCAAAAATCCATCGCATCTGGAGAGCACCGGATTGGGCAAGATTGATCTATAGTTACTGGCAGAAGTTCTCAAAGACTGTAAATGGATAGAGGTGAGTACTGTGCCACATAGAAAGGAATGATTTTCACAGGTTCTTGAAATGAATCAATATCATGGAGGGGTTAAGATGTTGGACTAGAAATAAGAAGACTGATGTTCACATTCACAGCAACTGGAAGGTCACTGGATGAATTTCACTGTCTTTTGGCCCAGCCTACCTCATATGGTTATAGTTGACTCATTCACTCTTCCTTTATATATTTGTTCTATGAATCAATCTTACATGAAAGAACTACTTTGAACCTAATTACCTCAAAGTATTTCTTTTATACTGGACACTCAAGTTTATATTCAATCCACATTCATTGAGTAAACATTCATCCTTGATCCTATCTCTTACTGTTTTAACACATACACTTCTTAAATAATTCACTCCTATTGCATTCACGTTACTTTTTTTTTTCCTCCCATGCCAAACTCCCACATCTTATAACAAAGGGAGCAGAAGCATATTTTTTATCCAACCATTTTTACCTCTTTCAACAAACATTATTTTCTCATTAAAAAAAAAAAGTACTACTAACATTTGTACATCTGATTTTTTTTTCATCCATTTCCTCATATTTAGTAAACCTTCTTCCAAGTTGTGTAACTTGCAATTTTTTACTCTGTTTTCCTTGTCATGCACAGGTGCCTTGGTCTTGGATACAGTAATTTTTGGACCCAAACTCCTGGTTACATCATGCAATCTCTTTAACGTTCACTCAAAAAGATTTTGAGTGAATGTTCTCAGCCAATACCATGGTACTATTTGAATTCAAAAATACAGGCATATTCATATCCCAATCAACATGCCTCCAAGATCACCATAAGCATTCCTTATACATACTGTATATCCATAAATGCAAACAGAAAAAGGAATATTACCCATTCTTGTCCTACATCCTGCTTAAAGTTGGACCTTTTGTTAAACATTCCATTCTTTTGTGGCACCTGCTTAACTTTCATTATATGCTGCTCTATTCTTATTCAGCGATCTATCTTCAGATCCATGTTTGTACAAAACATTCCATAATTCAGACCTATTCATGTGCTTTTGATGTGCTTTCTCTGGAACAACCAATATACAACAGTCTTTTTTCTCTCACTCAAACATTTCCAGTGGCCTGCCAAAGAGTAAAAATCTTGTCTGCCCACCAACCTCCTGGCATATAGCCTCACTATACTTCCCATATTTCACTCATTGTTCCCTCTTGTCCCCAGTCAAATGTTCTCAAAGCTTCCCCAGGTACACTTAATAAACCAATTTACCTGTAGTTTTGCCATTCACCTTTGTTAGCTTTCCTTTGGTATATGGGATATGGAAGGGGCTTCATTAATACAGTAAAGGGGAAAATATGAAGCAAGCAGATTATGCAGGCAATAGCAGGAACAAGATAGCCCTGAAGACATTTCCTGAAGTGATCTCTACTAACCGCCTTAGTCATAAACTGCTCAGAATTGGTTCTTAACTACAATAAAGAAAGAATGTCTGTAAAGAACGCAGTTGCTGTAGATCTTTTAGAAAAGCCGTGTACACAAGACATGGTGCAACCTTGCTTGGTTATTCATAATTAATTATATGAATAGTAGTTAAATGAATATGTACATTTGGAAACATATATATTTGCTCTTGTTTCTATCCGAGCACTTTTTCCTTTT